CCTGTATGAAATGTATGAATTGTGATTCATGATGGAATGAGAATAGTATATTGCATGCCTAAATTATTTTTCCGATATTTCATTATGACATCGAATTTTCAGACATCACTGAAATGTTTATATGTTTCACTCTGTAATCAATTACATCATCTGAATCATCTGAATTATGTTGAGTAATATGGAGGTTCGTTAATGATATGAGCGAAGGAAATTGTACTTAGCATCTTTGAATTTCGAGAAAATAATTAAATGAAAAATACCGATTTGTAACTTCAACGCCCTGTATCTCAGAATCTGTTCATCGAAGAACTTTACGATTCTGCAGGTTCAATCAGTTCATCGAATTCTACAACATACTGAAAATTCAGAAAATTTCACCGAGAACCATTTTACGTACTAAAAGTGCGGGGTCCTTTCAGTATCTATTAGGGCCTCCACCTACATGCAGGAGAGAACGACAACCTGGTGGCATGCTCTTTACTAACCTTTGTATAAATTGGCGTGGCATTCTCTATCCCACTCTTTGCGAATCATTCTCGAATGGTATACCTAATGATTTCAATATTCGAAAAAACATTATGTTAACATGCCATCAGGAGATCAATTATGATAACAGGAATATGGAGTATTCAAAGTTCAAATCATAATATGCATGACTGAATTTCACGTTCCTATGGTATCTCGAATTACCCTGTAGATCGATATCCGCTCAATTCAAAGGAATTGAAATGATGAATTCGTCTCTAAATCGATTCATTGAAAAACAGATCATCTGAAATTGGGGACATTTCAAAATAACGAAAATTTTTCATTGAAAGAGATGTTGCATGGTTATGAAGTACCTATGCTAACAAAACAATCTCGAAACCGTTTTGGCAAAAAACATCAATAATTCATTAATATTGATTTTTGTAATGAGTCAATGTTTACCCCTGTAGATCTGGGCTTCATGGGCAGAGTAGGTAGACCATTTCAATTTGAACGAATATCACACAACATGGAACATAATAATATTATACTTACTTTATTCTCAGAAATTGCGATATATCATTGAACACTTCGTCACTTAAATTGAAGAAATTAACAGAGTCGGTTGGATTACGAAAGACTTAGCAAGTCAATTGTGATCAGGGATCCGCCAGGATATCTTGAATAGCTTCAGTCATTTATGAGTTATTGAAGAAGAACATTAATTTTGTATTTTCATTGTCCTCCAATATCTCGAAATCATTGATTGTCTGAAAAGACGTCTTCAACATCATGCTGGTACTTTTTAGTGATCTTCTAAATGATTTCGTCGATTTTCGAAAATGAAAAGTGTGAATAATGGAATAAGTTGGAGGTCATATCTCAGAAATTTGATGTTGTTGATAATAACTGACGAAACCATTTGAGAGACTACTCAGAATTACTATTGGAATATTGAATTCGTTTTATCGTACAATCGATATTCTTCGAGATATTCGAGAAAAACGAAAATACAAAATATCGATGTTTCTTGAATATCTCAGAAATAACTGAAGCAAGTCTGAATTTGCTTACGGATTCTGATTCAGGATTAAATTTTCTGAAACCTTTTAAATTAAACCGACTCTCTTTCTCTCATGGTCACCGAGATCTCAATGTTGAGGATCGGATTTGGGAGACGCTGTATGAATAATTCTCCATCGGTATATTCAACAAAAAGAAATTTTTTCGTGAACAAGTGCCACGACAATCATTGAAAAACACATATAGCCAGAAAAGTAGTTGTATTTTGTTGAATATACCGATAAATAATCAATATTTTCATCACATAGAGAATGCGAATTCTAAATGTATTTCTCTATACATGATGATCCATTGATAAAGGACAATCTCTCAACTACAGATAGTGTACACGAAATAATTGGGATATAGCATGAAAAGCCTGATGAAAATGATTCTGATTCTGCAGATACAGGGCGTTCTAGGGAAACAATTTATTACAAAATTTCCTGATAATTTTGCAAGTTTCGACAGCATGGACATATTATCATGTAGTTCTAGGTTTTCTGACATGGAGTTCACGTATTTTCAACTCATCTTATATAGGTACAAGGCGTTCTAGGGGAAATTTGTTTTTCAAAATTTCCCAATAACTCTGTGAGTTTTGACAGCATTAATATATAATCATGTAGTTTCAGGTTTTCTGACATGAAGTTAACGAATTTTCAGCTCATTTTGTATTTGCTCATAGAGGGCGCTAGTAGCTCTCTGTTATTCTGGTGAAATACATCATATCTTCGCCGTCCATTCAAAGATGATCAAAACAAGTGGAAAATCTGAAAGCCCGTTCAATTTTCTTGCTCGTACGATTTCTATGTTATTCGCTATTGAAGAGATTTATGTTTCACTTCATGAAATTTTAATAATTTCGAATTATGATATCAGCGAAGTGATAGTGAATAACATAATATGGTGATCGATGATGACAATCACTAACAGCGCCAACAACGAACAGAATTTCAAAGTTAATATTCGACCAAATTTGGGGGACATTTTGAAATGAAAGTTTTCCTTGAACACTCTATATCTGCAACATTTCTATGAAGCATGTTGCGTTGATTATTCAAATTCTGGTGTTTACTATCTGTTGTTCGGAGATTTTTCATCCTCAATATGATGAATGAAATTATCTTCCTTCAAGAGCGAATAACACAAAAACCGTTTCAGCTGGACAATTCGAATGAGAGTACTTTTTTATGTTAAATCGAACAAACTTTCGGGTTTTTCATCATCATCGAATGGACATAGGATATATTATGTGATTCATCGAAGTGATGGAGTGCCATTAGCGCCCTCTATGAGCAACCTTATATTAAGTTGCAAATTCGTTCACCTCATGTCAGAAAAACTTGAAATACAAGATTCCATGTTCATACTGTAATATTATGAACGGCAATTGCCTCAACCTATCTTTCTATGGTGTGCTAATTAATAGTCTTCATTTCATTTGTTTTAGCAATTTTCAACATTTTTCTTGTTTTTGTGTTAGCCATTGTGGTGTTTCGTGACTCACTATTTTTATTATTCTTATACTTACTTACTTGTACTTACCATAATGCTATTATTGATATTATTATTGTTATCATTATAATCAAATATATGTGTCTGTATTTTTTGTAATTTCACTGTATTTGTGTTCCATGTATTGATGGTTATAAACTAGTCATTGACTGGAAGAAGGACATACATAAATACTGTTGAAACTCACAAAGTTATAGAGACATTTCAAAATAATATATCCTTCAAGAACACATTGTATCTGTCCTAAACCAGCAATATCCTTATCAGGTATTCAAGGCTGAATCTCAATATCTGAGTGCCCACTATCTGAAAAATGTTCATAAAATATCTGTGAATATTCGTTTTCAATATTTCCACACCCAATCGAAGGGGTTCAAACTTGAAAGATGGAAACTTCATAGACCTCTAATCGCAGATTCGCGATTGAGTTTTTCTAATACAAAATTTTTTCCACGCCTTGTATGATGAATATCAATTCTTCATACATCAAAACAAACAGAAAAGTTGGGTTAATACTTGATGAATAAAAGTAATAGATGTTTTTCTGACACTGAGTTCCGAGCAGTATTTTCCTTGTTTCTTATTGCTTATGTTTGACCATTAATTATTGGAATTGTAAGAGCACATCGATATCAAAAAAGAATTCATACAACGAATAAATCGCACTATTCTCTTTTTGATCGAGTTATTCTTCGAGCTGCTCTCCATAATTCATGAGATTTCCTGCCAAGAATTCACGAAGATATAAAATATGATGTGAAATATGTTATTTCTCATTTTTCCAATGTGTACCTTCTGCAATGTAATACATTGCTGTTCGAAAGCAGTTGAAAATAGAAATTGCGTTCAAATTGAGATAATGTTTGACATATATTCACTGATTGATTGTGAAAAATCGCTAGAACTTTCATTGTTCTTCAGAAATTTCGGCAAGCATTTCATCACTAGCAATACGAATCCGACGCCCTCGTGATATCTTTGTTATTCTTTGTCAAAAGGAATTATTCCAAGTGCTTTCAACCTTCAAATTCTCATGGAGAACTCAATCCCTACCTCCTCATCTCATCCTTCCCAGGTACGCACTATATTTAACGAACATAACTGAGATTGCCCTATGTGCGCATCAATAGATAAAAGCGAACTGGTATACCCTTCATATCGTCTGAAGATCCTATTCAGTTCTATCATTGAATAGTTTAATTTCCCTGTATATTGGATATTACAATGGATGCTGCAATATCGAATACATGCATGCACTATTATGATTCATTGAGATTAAAGTGAATTACCTCCGAAAGTTCAGGTAGAATCCAATTCCTAATTCTTTTCCTTACCCTCCCTAGAAACGCAAGATGTTCTCCGAACATAATTGAGATTACCCTATGTGCGCTCTGAAAATAACAAAAGTAAACTGGTACACCCTTTATATTATCTGAATATTCTATTCAGATTCATTGACATATATTTCAGTCATTGAATATGAGCATGGATGCTCCAATGTCGAAGATATCACTTATGCATTATTATAATTCGTCCTCAGGAACCATCCTTCAATATGTAAAGGAAAGATGAGAATCATTCAAAAAACAATTCGAGTCTTTACCTGATATTCAAAGTTCATAATTATTTTGAATACGTATTGAAAATATACATTTTTCTAAGAGGTATTCTACTTGAACTACCAGATATATGAAAAGTGCAACAAACCTCATTCCTTACCATATCTTCTCTGAATTATCGACGTATCCTACGAACATTCCACGGAACACGGTATGCACCGAAAATACATTAATAATGCCGCGATATGGTAAGATGAAAAGCGTAGCGTGAAACGGCGCCACTGGCAACGGACGCTATAAAACCTCATCTCTCAACTCTCAACACTCAGTCGCATCCAAGCTTACTTGCGTGTCTTTCTGTCTAGTGAGCAGTGTACAACCACAAAAGACAACATGTGTGACGACGATGTAGCGGCTCTTGTCGTTGACAATGGTTCCGGTATGTGCAAAGCCGGTTTCGCCGGAGATGACGCTCCCCGTGCCGTCTTCCCCTCGATCGTCGGTCGCCCCAGGCATCAGGGAGTCATGGTCGGTATGGGACAGAAAGACTCATACGTTGGTGATGAGGCCCAAAGCAAGAGAGGTATCCTGACATTGAAATACCCCATCGAACACGGTATCATCACAAACTGGGATGATATGGAGAAGATCTGGCACCACACCTTCTACAATGAACTTCGTGTCGCTCCCGAAGAACACCCAGTCCTCCTGACTGAAGCTCCACTCAACCCCAAGGCAAACAGGGAAAAGATGACCCAGATCATGTTTGAAACCTTCAACACCCCTGCCATGTATGTAGCCATCCAAGCTGTGCTCTCCCTGTACGCTTCTGGTCGTACCACTGGTATCGTCTTGGACTCCGGAGATGGTGTCACTCACACCGTACCAATCTACGAAGGTTACGCCCTTCCCCATGCCATCCTCCGTCTGGACTTGGCTGGTCGTGACTTGACCGACTACCTCATGAAAATCCTCACCGAAAGAGGTTACTCATTCACCACCACTGCTGAAAGAGAAATCGTTCGTGACATCAAGGAAAAACTCTGCTATGTCGCCCTCGACTTCGAGCAGGAAATGGCCACTGCTGCTGCCTCAACCTCTCTGGAAAAGAGCTACGAACTTCCTGACGGTCAGGTCATCACCATCGGTAACGAGAGATTCCGTTGTCCAGAAGCCCTCTTCCAACCTTCCTTCTTGGGTATGGAATCTGTTGGTATTCACGAAACCGTCTACAACTCAATCATGAAGTGTGACGTTGATATCCGTAAGGACTTGTACGCCAACACTGTACTTTCCGGAGGTACCACCATGTACCCTGGTATTGCTGACCGTATGCAGAAGGAGATCACCGCCTTGGCCCCATCCACCATCAAGATCAAGATTATTGCTCCCCCAGAAAGGAAATACTCCGTATGGATCGGTGGATCCATCCTGGCTTCCCTATCCACCTTCCAACAGATGTGGATTTCCAAACAAGAATACGACGAATCCGGCCCTGGAATCGTCCACCGCAAGTGCTTCTAAGCTATTTAAATGCAACCTACTTGATAAGTTATCTATCATGTTGTTATTACTATGTTACATCAATATGCGACCGTGGTTGAACTGCCAGAAAGACTTTTAACATCACATAACACCTATCGAATTATTTATTATTTGTTATATATTTAATTATACTTTTTTGTAACTGGGCAGGTGAATAAAAACCTATTTAGTAACAATTTTATTTCTCATTTTAATTCTTCGTCTGATTAATAAGAAGACGGACATGGTGATATATTTTATTGAACCATGTTGAATTCCTTTGGAAAATTATCGATTCAAATTAATAATAAATTTCATTTCAAATGATCACATCTCAAAATTGAAGAATCTATAAATAAATATCTTGCAATCCAAGACAAACTGGAATCGAAGGAAATGAACTATTTTGGATAAAGAAATAAAAATAGTGTATAAACTAGAATCTAAAAATAAAACTTTTGGAACAGTCAAACATCTGATGACTCTATAAGTCGATTCAATCAGGGTGGAAGCAACTACAGATTGTTTTAAGACGCCATGAATATATTTTTGGATTGGTCCCAAAAATAGTCTGTGTTATGATTATCCGTGATATTCACAATGCATAACCACAACAGAGATATAAATAGCTGGCTATAGCTTATTAGGTGATACCTCCAGTCATAGCATTTCATTTTGAGCTCAGTGGAGAGTTGAGGTTATAAATATTATGTGTGAACTTTCTTTCCAGAGAATTTGAAGCTCGTACTCTGTCAAATCACTAGGATACTTGAGATGTTTTTATAAATAGTTCGAACTCTCACTCGAGCTCTCTTGTCCTTTGCATTGAATCGAGAATGTTTGGCATACAACTTCTCATATGAGTATTTTTGCCTGCTACAAATAGGCACTGGTGAATAAACCAAGGAAGGATTGAAATCTTGGTCACATAGAGAATATGAATTCTCAATGCTTTTCTTTACATATATTATCATATATTTATTTTTTCATATTTATAATTCATCTGAGAATATGCCTCTTGATTATTTTCATATAAGTTCCACCAGAATAAGATATTATTTTTATTCACTACGAGACAATCAAGTCATGCAATGAAATACTCCTAGACAATCCTAGTCAGCTTTTTCAATTCAGAATATGCACAATATTCTTTGTTCGAAAATAATATTGGCCATCGAGAGCGGAGGTGCAAAATACTTGCTCTCGTAGCAGTACCTTGAAGTATATGCTGCATGCTGATGAATTCTATTCCGTTTTTTGTTTGGAAGAGAATGAGACGATATTGGGATACACTGTCTTGTTGTTTTGATATTGAATTTGTTGTCGAAATCAATATGGAATGGGTCGTATCTGAATTATTTTCTTCAAGCATGAGATCGGTTTGAATGAAAGTAGGAAAATGAATTAATGTTCCTCCAGTATTAATTTGCATCCCTTAGTCTTTCACTTCATTGAACTCACTCGAGTTGTCGAAATGAACGAAATAATGGGATATCTCGATCAAGGAATTATATTTTTCGACAGTCGAATGAACTCAATGTGTTTGTTCCCCTACTACTTGACAACTTCAACTTCGAAATTTGCACTGGAACTACCCACCCTACTTTCAACTAATCAGTCTTGAGCCTTTTCTATTGCTAATTCTTATGAGGTATCGGTTTTGGAAAACGGTAGTCATTTAACAGAGTTATCAAACAAAATCAATTATTGAAAATAATTTTCTAATAACCAACATTTGCTTTGATTTCATTTTTCTTGATTCTTTGAGATTTTCTCTCCTCGTTTCTATAAGATAAAAATATTCGTATTATTTCAATATATCTATATTCCTTTCCTTCAAACATTTTTTCAAACATCCTGTTACTCATTTGTGGACTAAAATCACTCATTCATATGTCAACATCAGTATGACTTTGAGAAGTGTCAAACTATAAGCAGCACAACTTTCAAAGAAAACTATTTCGCATTTACATGTTGAGAACTAGAGCAGATTCGTTCCCGAAACGTCCAAAGATAAGTGGAAGTTCGATATTTTTTCAATATTCCTTTTCTTCGAACATTTGTTCGAACAAATTGTCACTGACAAGCTACTGGATTTTTCTTTCAGACTCCCTGATAGAAAAATTTTTTGAACGCAGTGACATTTTGGGGCAAATCATCTGATTTGTCTCACTATACATTTATTGAAATAATACGAATATTTTTATTTCATAGAAACGAGGAGAGAAAATCCCAAAGAATCAAGAAAAATGAATGTACTACCTCCTCGATTAACCTACAGACTGTGTTTGCGTTATTATTTATAACCCTTCGCAATATTCAAAAACTTTTCAAGAAACAATCGACATGTTGTGAGGCCATGTTCAGATGATAACTTTTCGAGTCATTCGACTGGTAGGAGAGGTCCAATCGAAAGGACACCAAGATCACCCGATCTAACCCATTTGGACTATTTCATAGAGTCATTCGAAAGAGCGATTGTATGCTAGGCAACTTGGAGCTTTAGACGTGTAACAAGAGAATTATGGAAATATGACGATTAATAATGATAACACTAGATGTCTTCAGTAACGTTCGAGAAGAATCTGTTTCATTGTTGACTAGTTGATGGAGGTCATTTTGAACTATACATTGAATGAAACCTCATTCGAGTTAGCTTTCTTCACTTGTACAGTGTGTCCAGTTTTTGATGCTTTTGTGTGATATCTCAGTTATCTTTCGAGATATAACCTTGCGGGTTTCGCGGTCGTGTGCCACTTTTTTGTGAAACTCAAGTTGGCCTTATCAGATTTTGCATAACTGTTTCCGTTAATGAGATACAGGGCGATTTTGAAAATCTATACTTTTTGGACCCCCTCTATATCTACGGAGTTTCTCTGCAGAAATGTCAAATTTGAATCTCATTCAATATGAAAGTTTACGCAGAATCCAGTGGCGCACTCAACATTTTTTTTCGGGGTATGGTTTTGGAGATACGACTCAAACTTATGATTTTTCAAATGGAACACCCTGTATTTTATAAGCTCATAAAATTTCTCATTTTTGTCTCTTCAAAATGTTTGTAATGTATGCATATGAAATTTTCAAAAATGCTCTGAAATCACTGAAACATTGAATTTTAATAGTGGGCTATGGATTTTTCTTATGAAAAAGTTTCAATTGAAGGAATATTCATTTTGATTCTTCCATTAAGCGGACGAAAACAATACCAACTGAGAAAACACAAAAATTATGTACCTGATAGCAACAAATAAATAGTAATGAAAAGTTCATAATGTAGAATAAGCACCAGATTAAATATTTACAAATACAATTGGATTTCGGAATTATTCAATACCTCATTCACTGAATTGTTCAAATTGATGTCCATTTCCCATAACACACAATTGACACAGTTTCTCAATACGTCTTCATACAGTAAGAGTTACAAATATCTTGAAGACCTTCGTGCAACAACAGAAGCAGTTTTCCAGGAATTACAAAGACATCCTTTAATGATTTTGAATGCATTGAGACGTATTGAGAAAGCGTGGGAGGGAAAGTGGACATCAATTTGAACAATTCAATGAATAAGTTGCTGATTAATTTCGAAATTCAATTGTCTTAGTGAATATTAAATCAGCTGCTTATTCTAGAATATGAACTTTTTATTACCATTCATTTGTTGCTATCAGGTACCTTATTTTTGTGTTATCTTAATTATATAGTGTTGCGATTGTTTTTGTCCTTTTCATGGAAGAATCAAATGAAATATTACTTCAATTGGAACTTTTTCAAAAGAAAAATCCAAAGCCCACTATTAAAATCTAATGTTTTGGTGATTTTGGAGCATTTTTGAAAAATTCATACCTATTCATCATATTCCATTTTGATGGGGAAAAAATAAGGAATTTAATGAGCTTATAAAATACAAGGTGTTCCATTTGAAAAATCATAAGTTTGAGTCCTATCTCCGTAACCATACCCAGAAAAAAAAATTGAGTGCGCCACTGAATTCTGCGCAAAATTCTGTATGGGGTAAGATCCCAATTCGACATTTTCGCTGAGAAACTTCGTAAATATAGAGGGGGTCCAAAAAGTATAAATTTTCAAAATCGCCCTGTATCTCATAAACGCAAACAGTTATGCAAAATCTGATTAGGCCATCTTGAGTTTCACAGAAAAGTGGTACAGGACCGCAAAAACCGCAAGGTTCTATCTCGAAAGATAACTGAGATATCACGCAAAAGCATCGAAAACTGGACACACTGTACACTACTATTTTATTCCCGATGAATTATTGATCGACACAACAAAAAAGATGGATGTGGATATGAAGTAATTGAGAAGTTTTCAATTGATGGAAAATTTTGGTTGAAAATAATAACAAGAATGTGGGTTCATCAATCATTGTCAAGTATTGTTTTCACTTTGGAAATCTGCTCGATTTCACCAGTATTTCAAACACGATGCACCAGAGTATTCGCAATTGAAAGGCTAGAATGATGAAGTAAAGTAGTTCTATTCGGAATTTCAAAGTTGCGGTTACTAGGGGCCAGGAAGGATCACATCAAGTTGGTTCAGATGTGAAGGATGCTTTCCTCAAGTATGAAAATTGACGACTACATACGATTTCTGGTAGAGGATTTTTATTTCTCGTTATTGAAGGGGTCAAGTTTTTGATGACAGACCCTGGAGAACCCCCATCGATTTGAATTTTCTTTCTGTGACGAAAAAAAACTGAATGTCACTTTCAATAATTACCTTTTTCCCACGAAGAAAAAAAATGGGGTGCTTTTTTCCTGGATATATATCACATATACATACAGTGTCGAATTATAATTGTCTGATTTTATTATACTGTAATATCTTCTCAATATTGATTTTCCCTCTTTCGTATCATTGAAAATAATAGTGCATTATACACGAGCGATTTTTAGCTCGATTTTTTTAACTCAACACAACCGGGAGCTGAAATCTACTACTTTTTCCCTTGTAAAATGAAAAAGTATTATTCGTCT